CCCAGGGCAGTTGTCTTGCAGAGCATCCCACACCCTGGATCTGAGGTTCTGTGTCCTTGGGAGTAGATTCAGGCTGAAAGGTCTCTGCTTGGAACCATCAGCGCATCCAAGGAGTGTTGCTGGGAATGGCCCATGTTCCCTTCGTGCGGCCCCCAGGGCCTTCCTCACCGGCTCCTCCTCTCCTCTCCCTCTGCGCCCTTACCGTCCTGGCCACCTGCTCAGGTCATGGCTTCAGGGAACCACCTGAGCCAGTCTCCCCATTTATCCCTCCGCCCAGCCTTGCCTATGACCCTCCCCCCACAACAGGCCCATCACCCACCTGTGACAGGTTCTTCAGTGTCCAAAGGGCACCTCTCCAAAATCAAGCTCCTGTCTCCAGCACCGCCCCTTCTGCAGAGTTCGTCTTCCTGGTTAATGACTCCCCTGTACTCAAGATGTGGGGTCCATCGGTGCCTCTTCTCTCCCACCTGGGCCAGCCACCATCATCTCTCACCTGGTTCATGTCATAGCCTCCCAGCTGGGTTCTACTCTTCTCCTCCACATGGCCACCAGAGGGATCCTGTAACCCACCAGTGTGCGCATTTCTCTACCCCAGGCTGAGTAGCTCAGAGCAAAACCAAAGTCTTTATGGGATTTATGAAGACCTATGGGCCTGGCCCCTGCCAATGTCTTCCACCTCCTCTCTCCTTAACCCCATTCATTCTGCCTGTCACTCAGACCTGCCTCAGGGCCTTTGCACTTACCATGTAGGCCTCACTGCAGATGTCACCTCCTCCCAGAAGCCCTCCCTGAACACTCCTTCCCATCCTCATCCCTCCTCATTCCCTTTGCCTGGCTTGTTCTTTCCAGCATGTCCCTGCTTGCCTTGGTCTTTCCTGCCATGAAGTCAGGGACATGCGTGTCTGTTCCCTGCTCATCCCATAGTGCTACGCATGTACTACAAGCTCCATGAATGAATGGCTGAATCCGTCTAAAGTTAGGGTTTGGGGGACAGACAGATAGACATTCAGAATTGCTGACTGCAACAGAGACGAAATCCAGAGAGAGGGGGTCAGCGGGCCCCTTGAGGTTTGGGGTGCAGGAGGGCTGTGGTCAGGGCCTCGGTCGGGAGCCTCCCGAGAGCTGCTCTCCCAAGCCTGTGCCCCTCCACACCTGCCCCCACCTCCTCAGGCTGGCTCTGGGGTCTCGGCAGGTGGTCCGCAACATGAGCTCGGAGTTCTTTGCTGCCCAGCTTCGGGCCCGGATCTCCGACGACACCACTCACCCGACCTCCTACTATGAGCCTGAGTTCTACACGCCCGACGACGGCGGCACCGCGCACCTGTCCGTGGTCTCGGAGGACGGCAGCGCCGTGTCGGCCACCAGCACCATCAACCTCTAGTAGGAGCTGCCAGCAGCCTGGGTGGGCCAGAGGGGGGCCCATACCCCCCTGCATGGTGGGAAACTGAGGCCCCATCTCGATAGAGTCCCTGGCCTCATGGGAGCAAGTTGGAGCTCCAGCTAGTGGGTGGGTGGGGGGCAGGTGGGGTGGGTACAGCGGCCTGACCAGGCTGGTCTGCAGCTTTGGTGCCAAGGTGCGGTCGTCAGTCAGTGGAATCCTGTTCAATGATGAGATGGACGACTTCAGTTCCCCCAACATCACCAACCAGTTTGGGGTGCCCCCCTCACCAGCCAACTTCATCAAGCCAGGTGTGGGGCATGGGGCTCAGGTGTGGAGAGGGCTGGTGTCCGGGGCAGCAGCTGACCCGCACCCCTGTCCCTGCCCAACTGCCGGCCACAGGAAAGCAGCCGCTCTCCTCCATGTGCCCGGCCATCATCGTGGGCCAGGACGGCCAGGTCCGCATGGCAGTGGGTGCCTCTGGGGGCACGCAGATCACCACGGCCACCGCGCTGGTATGCACCCCCGCTCCCACCCGGCCCAGTCCCCTCGGCCCCTGCCTGTCCCGCCCCTCACCCCGTGCTGACTCCGCCCCCAGGCCATCATCCACAGCCTGTGGTTTGGCTACGATGTGACGCGTGCAGTAGAGGAGCCCCGACTGCACAACCAGCTCCTGCCCAACGTCACGACGCTGGAGAAAGACATTGACCAGGTGGGGCTGGCAGGAGCAGGAAACCAAGTCACAGTTGGGGGTGCGGAAGCACAGGTTTCCTGGAATGGAGACTTAGGTTTCCTGAGTCCTCACGGAGTGGACGATAGCTGTTGTCCTCTGCCTAGGGCAGGTGCCCTCAGCCCCGCTGCCTGGGCCATCTTTAGTGCCGTGCACTGGGGGCCAGGCTACCTGCCCCAGGGACCCCCCTAGGCCCAGGTGCCCCCAATGTGCTCTTCTTGCCCACCCAGCCAGAAATGGCGCCACCTGGGTCTCTGAAGCCCATGACACTGGCGTGGCTTGGATGGTGTCCTGGGCCCCACTGAGGCCTTCCTCTCTTCTCCCGGAATCCAGGAGGTGGCTGCAGCCCTGAGGACCCGGCACCATGACACCCAGGTCACTTCCACCTACATCGCTGTGGTGCAGGCCATCGTTCGCACATCCAATGGCTGGGCAGCCGCCTCAGACCCCAGGAAAGGCGGGGAGCCTGCCGGCTACTGAGCCCTCAGGGTGCGCAGGCTGGGCAGCAGTCTGGGGATGAGACGCCCACTGGGGCCAGGAGCGGGACTTTGAGGGCTGTGTTTCCCTGTGAGTGGAAAAACAATGCAATAAATGAGGGCTGCAGGGCCAGGCTCTGGGCAGCCTTGCTGGCCTGGCTCCCAGCTCCCCGGCCTCAGCATCCTGTGTATGAAATGGAGCTGTCCGGCAGGGAATGGTGAATCTGGAGGTCTTCCCACCTTGGACACTGGCGAGAGCCCCAGCATTTTCATGGAGACCTGGCGGGTGGGAGGGCCCAGGGTAGGTTCGTGCCAAGCACTGTCCTTCCCACCCTGAGCTCCAGGACCTGGGGCCAGGCCATCGCCTCCCTGGCTTGGGCAGTGGCACTTCCTAACGTTCGCCACCAGGGGGCGCCACGGCCCTGAGTTTACTTTCAGCGGGAGGCGGCGGAAGCTGGGAACCCCTGGAACCCCCCAAGACTGGCGGGTGTCTGGGCTCACACGCGGGACATAAAGAGGGAAACAGGTTTGGGAAGACTGGGATTGGGCAAGAGGCTGGAGCAAGACATCTTGGTCAGAGCCAGGCCTGGGGGCTTTCCTAGCACAAATCCCGGGAAACCCAAGCTGTGGGCGGCTCCAGGAGAGGCCAGTTCTCGGGGAACAGCGAGCTGGGAGAGGTCCCGGGTCCTTGGGGTCAGGGCTGGACCGGCAGGTGGCCGGGAACGTGGCCCAGTGGGGGGAGCTTGCGGGCAGGCGGCCCACAGGAGACACAGCACCCTGTCTCCTGCGCCCAGGCTGGGCCCTCCCGCGCTGGCCCAGGGCTGGATGGCTGCGCTCAGTTGAAGCGCCTGAAGTGAAGTGCTGGACTGGGCCAGGGAAGGCGGGTGGGGGTGTCACCCACGACCCATGGGCACGAGCTGGGGGCCCCTGAGGGTAGGGGCCCAGAGGCCATGCGAGACCAGGCCTGAGCTCTCCTTCTTGAGGCTGGAGAACCTGGTGCTTCCAAAGTGCCCACGAGGAAATGGGGGTTTTGCGCTGGCAGGGTCTGAGGGAGGGCATGGCCTCTGGGCTCCCGGGCATAGGGGATGGAGACTGGGCTGTGGGGTGCGCGAGTCTCTCCTCACCCTCATACTGGCCCCAGAAGAAAGGCCATGGTCCCATTTGCAGGGGAGAAGACCGAGGCCCAAGGGGAGGGCCTCGTTCCAGCTGGAGGTGGGGCTGGTCACAAAGCTCCTCGGGCTTCAGGACATGGTCAGGGTGCACCCCAGGGCCCCGGGCCCATGGGGCTCACCAAGGGCTCCCTCGGCGTCCCGGGGGACAGGCTTTCCTCCCTCCTGCATCTCCTGGACGGGGGCGTTCAGGGCCCCCTGGGCTGGGCCTCTCCGGCCGGGCTCCTCTCCAGGGCCTCTGCTCTGGCAGTCCTTGCACCCCAGCATCAGCCCGACCAGCGTGGCTGGGAGAGGAGGGGCGCTGCCCAACCCTTGCCCCCCCCCCCCCCCCCCC